CCGGGTAAAACCCGCATCTTGCGGATGACACCTAACAGCCAGTATCCTTTACAAGTCGTTCTTCCCAACAATGGAAGAAGCATGGAAAGTTTCTCTGCAAGATAGGGGGATGAGGATGGACTTGTTTGAACCTCATTCCTACTTGCAATTTACATATTAATATGTTCAAGAATCACTTATGCTGAAAATCAAGAACAGTACATTGGAAAAAAACTTTCTTCAAGCTGTGCAAAACTGACAACTGGAGCAACCACGCTTTCAAATGAAGCTGGATTATTCCCAGCAAATTATGCAGACATCTAAGGACTCAGAACACAGGAAATCTCTAAAACCAGAAGCGGACTTTTGTATTGCAGCAGGTATTTTGCAGAACTGAAAGCCTGCAAAGATGTCTCGTGACCCTTCCAGTTAATTAGAAACTAGAAACTATTGCAGTCAAATTGTACACACTTCTGAAAGCAGGAAAAGCCCAGCTCCTTGGTACTACCTATCGTCCTTTACAGAAAGATTGTTCTTTGCCTTTGGGAAAAAAAACATCCAAGTGCATCCGAGTCTCAACACCATAAAGTTGCATTACGTATCTTCACATTCAAGAACACTTAAACAGTTGACAGAACGTATTCCACCATGTTTGGCTCAGTCTAGAAAATAGAGCACATCATTGTCCACCACATCACGTGAGCAAGCCATTGTCACAGGAGCCAGTTTGCCTTTAAGTCACTTCCAGGTTGCTCTCATTCACAACAGTCTTGCAGCGACCTCTTCCTTTGGCCAGCATCTCAGACAATAAAGAGCAAATACTCAAGACAACTTACAAGTTGCTCTGAACTCAAACAGTACATTAACAGAACTCAGTGTACAGTTGAGCATGTCAGAAGTCCAATTTCTTCAGCTGTTCATATGTCAGAAAGAACTGGAACAGCTGGTTAAGGAAAACTTTCCTGTTCACGCGGCGCAAAATGGTCACGTCGCTACTAAAGGACAGCTGCATCGGTGTGACACTTTGTGCCACTCTCTGTTCCCTGCTATGCAATGCTGCTGGTTGGGCATTTTTGTTACGCGGTACTAGGCAGAACAATGAAATTTGCTTTAAGGCTGGCGATGCCAATTATTTTCCCATCCCTATTGCTCAGGATCTTAAACACAGGACTGAGGAGGCAGGAGAATACTGCGAAAGCCCCCCCAGAGTCTTTACTCACTTAGCTTTGATGGGTAAAGGAGGTTTGCTCATGGTAAAAAAAACAAACATTACTACCAACCTGCTCTCCAGGGCTCTGATCAGCTGGCTCTTGAAACAAAAACAAAATTCTGCAAGATTAAGATAAACAAAAAGATTTCATGGCTAACTGCCAACAGTTTCCCCAGTTCTGGAAATAGCCCCCATTCCTAACAACTCATCTGGTCAATTTTATTTAGTACTAGGCTCCAAACTAAGGAAATGGACAGGTATGAAATTGGAGGAACAGAAAAATGTTCTGCAAGATCATGCTCTGTGTGAACCACAAATTCAATCTGCTCAGCAACAGTTGACTAAGAAAATGGTCAGCTACACAATTTTCCATTCATAAAAAGGGAATATTTGAGCTGACGTGACACTTTCCACACTGAGCATTCTGTGAAACTGTCTGTCAATACTTGCTGTTGTACAGCTAGCTTAATGGTTTTGCACACCTTTGAAAAGGATACAATGATATTCCAAGGACCAAGTCTTAACCAGTTTGGCCAAAACCCTTTATATAGAGCAAAAAAGCCTTCATTCTTCCATGTCTGGAAAAAAAAAAAAACACAGCAAGAACACACTTAAGTAACTCTTCATTAGTGAGAAATCTAGACAGCATCTCAGCTAACAAGATTCTATACCAGACAAGGGGATGGCTTAGTGCTGTAACCTTGATTTAAACATATTGTATGATGGGACAAGGAAACATTTCACTAGATACAGCCAAGATTAGTCATGCCTGCAGCACTACCTGGCAGGTAAAGATACAGTCTATGTCATTCAGTACCCAACTCAGATTCATCCAAATCACATTCCTGGACTTCCCCCCCCCCTGTGAACCTACAGCTCACATTTGGCACCCCCTTGAAATTCACTGCATGTAGACCTGCCGCTCACATTAGGCACCCCCTTGAAATTTTTATGAACTTCACAAAATTGCACCAGACAACACGACTTGGACTGTTATACAAACTGGACTGTTCAGTCAACGGTTTGGAGACCAATAGCTTCCTATCCACTCTTCTCCATGTAAAAGGCCATCATGCTCCCACCTCATACCCAATTTAGGGATTTAAGAAACCAAGCCAAAATAATCAAAATCAGAGACTGACATTGCCTTTGGCTGTACTAGGCTTTCCATTATGCAGTAAGCAACAGAGAAAGCCATCTGCCCCAGATGTTGTTCTTCAAGAACTGACTTATGAAATTATAATTTCCTATCAATATCCTAACATTGTATAAAGTTAAGTAGGAGACGGTGCCACTGAGGGACTTAGTCTCCTCATCCAAGCACCAAAAGGAAGTCAGTGCCTGCAGTACATACTAACGTTCTTCCTGCCTTCTGTGAAGACAGCAGATACTTTCCACACCAACTGCATTATTGGCAGTACAGTCCTTTTGAGCATTAGGGCAAAAAGGATATCTAAGTTACTTGGATTAATTTCTAAGGAAACTTAGAACATTTTCAAGTTCTACACCACAATTATTGCTTGATGGCACCAGTTTCTACTTACGTTGATACATGAACCACTTACTTGTAACAAGCAATCCAAAGTACCCTTGTAGTTTGAGTGTCCCCCATGTTGTTGGCTTCTCTGATTCATCATGCGTGTTCTCACAACATCAATTGGGTTGGATGCTAGGGCTCCAGCTAACCCACAAGTAAAACTTGAGCTAATAAAAGAAAGGTTTAATGAAATTCGACCTACCGCATTTCAAGGTGCACAAGAATTCCCCCTCCCCAGAAAACACGCAGTAATAATGCGTGCTTAATGCTTTTAGTTAAAAATTACATCAGCTAATAGATGTGAAAAATTGCTTTTTATTTACATCATTTTCAAGATTTGACATACAGCCCTTATATATAGTTTCTGTATACTGGAACACGTTTGTGCCTTTGAGAATAGCAAATATTTAATTGGAACTTTCCTCTAATCTCGATTGGCAAAGCTGAATGATTCAGATCATCCACAAACCAAAATTCCATATTCAAAAGAAAATTAAATCCAAATCCTAAATAAAATTAGCTTCTGTGCTATGTGCTACCACTTGAGATGCTATTGCATTAAAAAGCATAAAAACATCCGAATTATATTTAGATGTAGACTGATGACAGAAAAATCAAAAGATTCATCCCCCATAACGAGAACTAACAAATGATGAGCTATGCAAGTAGTTATTTATACAAACTTACAGGAAGTGAGTATATACTGTATCTCCCATAAATCCAGACATCATTATGTGCTTCTTGGTAAGGTCATACACTGGCAGTTCCACTCCAACA